AGCACCCCAGCTGCTCTGCCCCAGGTGTCCCCAAGTCAGCTTCTGCTGAAACTGACCAGCGCTGACTACAGGAAGCCCCAGGCAGAGTTGCTCTGCCCCGGGCTTCCTGGAATCAGCTGCTGATCAGTTTCAGCAGCAGCTGACTTGGGGACGCCTGGGGTTCTTAAGTTGATTCTGTATGTAAGTCAGAACTGGCGGTCAGTTTCAGCAGCGGCTGAATCTGGACGCCAGTTCCGACTTACATACAGATTCAACTTAAGAACAAACCTACAGTCCCTATCTTGTACGTAACCCGGTGACTGGCTGTACATAGATGCTTTATTTTAAACATTATTCATTTTATTCAGCATAAATTGATGCTTTATTTTAGCTCTATTCTTGTTTTGTCCTGTTTTAAAGGCTTGATGCAGAATTAATTGAAGTCAATGGAAAGCCTCCTATTGACTTTATTGGGCTTTTGATGAAGTCCTAAATATTGGATGATAAAATCTACATTAATTTGTTTGCAAATGCAGACTGACCAACCTCTTTAGAATCTTCAGATCCTTTAATATTAATTAATCTTGACTGTTGTATGAAATATCTGCTCTCCAGATAAGCTGAAACTATTGCTCATGGATGTCATATTGTTTCATGGAAGATTTAGCAAATGAATGTCAAATTGCAGTTCAGTCGAGAAAAACTGCAACATCAACGTAATGATTTCACAACTTTATAAAATGTAACAAAAATAAGGATTCCTCAGTTGAGCTTGAAAGAGTGATATGAATAATATAAATGGAATCCACATTATGTTGTGATTTCCTTCTCAAATTTCAGTGTATAAAATATACTGATCTACATGAGCGCTAACTTAATCTAATTTATTAAAACAAGGTGTGTGTGTACGTGTTAAAACAAGGTGGAATGTAAGGAAATGCACTTAGCATGGTCATGGACTATGTATAAAGAAATGAAAACTCTTGTATAAAGATTAATCTTCATTTATAGTTCGCTTTTTGTTGTCACATGTCATGAAATGTTAGATCAGAAGATAATGTACACAAGGCAGTGTTGTTATAAATACTAATTTTAATTATACCATTGAACTCTGGATTATTTTAATCAAGTGTAGTTTATCTTAAACATCAAAACCTCCTATTGCAGATTGCTTGATTTGGCATTTAAAGACTGGGATTGGTCATTTGATGATGTTGATGATATTGATGATGATGACGATGTTTTTGATTTCTGAAGATGTAAAAGGGTAAATCAAAGTAGTGAGGAATGCAATGTTTGCCTTTTGAATAAAGCATGCTAGTTGGATTTTGTTTTTCAAAGCAGAGAAGGTATCTGAGATCTCATTTTTGAATACATATTAAAATGAGATTTCGGTTTGAAAGATCCATTTTCAGAATTGTCACTTTAAAAGGCAAATATCATTTTTAGTTAAATACATTATTTTAATTACAGATTTCTGTTCAGAATTCATGCCTGCCTGCCCTGTTGAGCGGAAAAGGAGATAACTGATACTGTCAAAATATACTTATAGCAGTGGTAGTATGGCTAACCTTTATATACAAGCCAATTTTGAGATACAAGAATAAAACTGTCACATTTTAATCTTTGACACACTCAAGACATGTCAGTTTGCTGTAATAAATGCCTTTTTAAAGTGTAAAGTGACTTGTCTATGGCTAGCAGACTTGAAACAAGCTTTGCATTTTGCATCTCCTAATAGTGCTGTGAAATACAGATTTATAACATGGCTTTTTTCTGTAGTGCTGTGCTTTTTTGTTTTCTAACAGAGCACTTGGAAAAATGCAAAGTAAAGTTGCATTGCTAATGCAATGAGCTAAATGCCTTGAATGCTATAATAAAACATAAAGTTATAATGCTATTATAAAGTTTTCATAATTTAACTGAAAGTGATCTAATTAGTTTGCAAATCTCCCCCTTTTGCATACACTCCTCTGCCCTGCTTTCTGCTCCCATTGCTCCTCGACCACAGAGAGAAGGGGTCACTGTATGCAGAACTGGACTCCCGTCCATCCAAAACCCATGTTTCAGCATTCCCTCTCCTCCCCCCCACACACACACAGTCCCCCTTCTGTACCTCGTGCTCTCCTCCACACACAGCTGGACTCCTCCATCAAGTCCCCCCTCCACATGTGGACCTACACCTCTACACCCAGTTTATACCCCATTGAGCCCTATACACTTGAGACCCCATATCAGTGAACTCCACTCCCTCTGCACCTGGATTACCCCAATGAGCCACTCAGACCTTAACACACCAATCACCACTCCCTTAACTCTTATCTCTGCTGAGCCCTCTCCACCCAGACCCCTGCAATAAGCCCTATTTCCCCCAATACCTCCCCCGCCTTGCTGAGACTCAGTCACCTTCCCCTGTACTCCTCCTGCAGACTCATTGTCACTGCACCTGGAACTCTGCCTCAGTGAGTGCCTGTGTATTCAGATTGAATCTAGACCCTCACACAAGGCCTTCTCAACTTCACACTGGGATCTCCCTCCACATACACACTGAGCTCCTCCACACTTGGATACTGTTATGCCAAGCCAAACCTGCCTGTGTGTCCAGCGAGGCAGGCCCCCAGGGTGTTTCTGGGGTAGGTGTGGCTCTTGCACTGTCAGGGGTCAGGTGCAACCTCACTGCTGAGTCTGGGTCCCAGCTGGAGAGGAGAGTTGTAGGGTGACCTCTAGGCAGCCAGTGGCCTGTACTCTCTGCTGCCATACTGAAGCCTCTAAATTGTTTATTAAGAAATAGCATTTGCAGAATTTTAAATTATTGGGCACAGAATTATTTTTTAGCTTAGAATTCCATCAGTTGAATGCTCAATGAACTAAATTATTAGTATAAATAAAATGTAATTTTCTTAATCTTAGAATAAGATTGAAATTGCGATGCATAAGATAGGGGTTTTAAACAACATATAATACTATTTAGTGCAAATGAGTAGCATTTGTTGCAAATGCCAGAAGTACGTATTTAAAATAAAAATTTGGAGGAAGCTTCTTTTCTCAGCAGAGGGACATGCATTGCATTTAATGACCAAACTTTTCTTCTTTTTCAGCTAACTGCCTTCTGTGAATGCAGTCACTATTCAAGGTGATACTTTTCTTCCCATTAAAACAAGACTGAAACATGATGCCCAAAATTTATTAAAAAAAATATATTTTCCTGAGAGACTGTGCTATATATATCAGAGGTTTACAATATTTTGCTGCAATATAAATTCCTGATCTCTGAGGGCTACTTTAAATTTCCTTGGGGGTAACTGATCTCATAAGGACTGTTGGTAATCGTAAAAGGATACTTTAGGTAACCTTTTATAGTCTTGTCCCCAAAAAAGTTCACTTGGAAAGACATACACACTACATTTCACAAAAGAAAAAAGAAGAATGAAAATTGAAACTGAAGAAATCCATCTTTCAACTTTCATAGAGAGATGCCACCAGCATATTTGCCAGAAAAGTAGGCGGGAAAGATCCTCCACAGTGGTAGAGACTGCATCTTTAAGAAGTGACCATTATACTGTGTATATATATTGTACTGTAATACTGCAAGAGGGTTTTAAAAAACTTTCCACTTTATTTTTTTATGCATATTAATCAGATACCATTACTTACTGCAGTTGCAACTATGCACTTGTGTAAAGCCATAATGTTGAATTTAATATCATTCATACATGTTTATCAAAAGTTGCATGTTGTATGAGACGTTTGAAGTACATACTAGTTTCAATTATTTCATAATGGGCGGACCTATTTTACCTATCTGAATGCCTTAATTTAATTTTTCAAGGTCTATGCCTATTTTATGTATTTAAGGAAAAAAGAATGTTTACCAGCTCTTAGGATACAAATTTGCTTTGTGGCAGAAAAAATAGTGCACTATTTTTACACACAATTATATCAATGTCAGCCTATTTTGAATGTATATTGATTGGTTTTGGGGGGGGGAATATTCGTTACAGAAACAGCAATTGATAGTATTGAAACTAATATAACTTTCACGTGTTACATGTAACTTTCCATCCAGTCCTTTATACAAACCTCAATATTAGTCATTGACTTTATATTACCCTTATTAAGTGCTATGAAACTTCATTTTGCCTTGTTTTGAGTACTCTCCTAGATGTGTTTTTTATTTCTGGAAAAAAATCTGACTATTTTTACATTTTCACAGTACAATATCCAAGGACTGTCCCAAACTCTAAAGAAAACTAAAAGATTATAGATGTATTTTAAATGTTTGAATCCAGTTCTCTAGCACATAGGCATAGAAAAATATTTCAGTAGTGTGTTTTGAGAACTTATAGCTGGGAATAAAGGGCCTCAGTGGCACTTAATCTGACTTTTTTTTTTTACTTGGATTTGTACAAAAATATAATTTATGTGGGCTCATTCATGCTGTGTTCATAATTATCCCAGAAAATGCATGTTTTATACAATTACAGGAAGCTGTTAAACATGGACAGTAAAAAAAAAAAAAAAAATATGTAGCCTCCTACTTGGTCTCTTTTTTATATATATATGTTGTGTGGTAATGTGATAATTAAAAACACGATCTAATATTTCAAGAAAGGAAGACCTTTCGCTTGATCTTTGGGAACAGTGTTGAATTGTTTAAAGGATAGGACTGTGACTTTTATACAACACTATAATGAAGAGTGGACTTAGGCCCACTAGAGTGCTGAAAATGAATATAGTTACATCGTATTAGTAATGTAATTTACCCAGTCTGTACTCAGTTTTATATTTATGCATTCTCAACCTGAAAATGTTATTTGTGCATTCTTAAACTAAAATGTTTATTTCATTTCAGTTAAAGCATTAGCCCAATGCACGGAGAAGGTGTTTGTCCTTTCTCTGCTTCATGTAGCTTACTGAAATAAAGCATACTTTTAGGTAATGCATATTTGCATACAAAACAAAATTTTAAATACAATAAAACTGTTTCCATTCATTGAATGCATAAATAGTGAGTGTGTGTGTGTGTGTGTACACACACACACACACATGCATAACTGAATAAGGTAAAATAGGTCCTGATTTTGACATGCTGGTAGTTAATTGGGGGGAAAAGGCAACATTTGTCATGATTGTATGAAAATAAACATCTGTCATTTACAGGGGAAAGTGTAAAGAAATCTAATGCAAGAAGGAGGTCACATTGAAGGCCAAGAGTGGTGCAGCCTTAGAAATAAGAAGGGAGAGAGATCCAAGTCTCTTCCCAAGAGAGGCAATGAATGAGTAGGAACCTGAAAGTGGGTGCTCTTCTGGGACCATTGAGGGGATATACAGATGCATTGCCCTGAACAGTGACAATCAGTACTCTCTGTAATGTGTAGACTGTTGGCCTCTGGTATTTTCCCAAGGGCCAAAAGAAACATTTCTAGAAAATCTGCCGATACTGCCTCTGCTCTCTCAGGAACAACAGTACTCAGCCACTGGAGCGAACATAGGAAATCTGAGGTAACATCTTCTAGACTGTAATTACTAGGCATGATTGCATCTTGAGTCAACATATCAGAGCTAACCAAAATCTAACTAGTCCAGGTCCTGGAGCAGCAAAGCCATGGCAGTACAAGCTTCAGGGAGGGCTAGCCCGATGAGAAATTATCATACTTGTGGTGTGTTTGCCTACCCTGCACTAAAGCACGTACTGCTGCGACTTCAATCTTCTGGGACCTCAACTTGCTAGACTAACATTAACTCGGGTATGTTGACTGGAGCTGCAGTCAGAACCCGTGATTGCAGTAAAGACATATCTTCAGTGAGAATTGGTTTTAGTTTTATAGACTACCAAGGCTCTTTTATTCTAAGCAGTGCTTGAGAGCCTGGTGTTGGGATTCAACAGAGAGAATTTAAATAAAGGCAAATCAAATTTTCTAAACTAAGAGTGTGACTAAAAATTCCCATATCTCTCCTTTACATTATGCCAATGTCAGTAGCCTTTATTAAATTAATGACTGGTGTACATTGTATTATAATCACTTAATCTTATTCACAGAGAAATGCCTTTAAAAGAAAAGTCAAGTTTGCAATGATGTTGAGGATTAGTACCACAAAAAACATGGTATTGGCAAATATTTCTGAAACTCTGCCCAAAGGATGAGCTTGTCCAATACTGAATATAATAGACTCTACCTGGACTATGGTGGAAGTGTGACTGAGAATAGAATGTAATCAAATCAATAGGTTAATGTGGGTAATGTTTACAAAGCAAGCGAACGGGGAAGAGCTAAGTATGAGGAAAAGGAAGCTGATATACAGGTATGTGTGCAATGGTTGTAATTAAAATCTTTACAATTTTGCATTCCAGATTACATTATTATTAGCAGGCTTCTTAGTTTTGTGTGATTTAAAAAAAAAAAAAATTCTCCCATAAAAATCTGGTCGGCCTTTTTTTGGTGATTAAAATGCAACACTGAACTTTAGTTTCTTCTTTGAGTGAGTGCTCATGTTCATTCCATGCCGGTGTGCGCGTGCAGCATGCATGTGTCGTCGGAAATTTTTTCCCTTAGCAATACCCGTTGGGCCACCAGGGGAACCCCCTGGAGTGGCGCTGGTATACCAGCCAATATATATCCCTGCTGGCCCTCCATCCCCTCAGTTCCTTCTTACCGCCCGTGATGGTCGTTGTAATGTACTAATGTATTCTTGCTATGCCCTGTGGTGACCTACGCTCTGCTTGCCTTAAGTGCCTGGGAGAGGCTTACTTGTCCAAAGTCTGCAAAATTTATAAGACTTTTAAACCATGGACGAAGCAGGAGAGAGAGAGTCACACCTGAAAATCATTCTAATGGAGGCGGCTTTACGTCCGGCACCAGCATCAGACCCGGCACTGGCAACGCAGAGCGCACCAGTCAGTCTACTCACGCACCTCCCCAGCACCACACAGACCTCAGCACCATTCCCAGTCCCCAGTGCCTCAGAAGAAGAGGTGGTCTAGCAGGGGTAGGTCGCCCCCATGGCATGTGCCCTCCAGTGGGACACTCGGCACCATCAGGTGCTGAGCCCAGACTTTCTCAGTTGGGCAAGCAACTACATCCGCACCAAGACACCAGCCTGATGGGGGACTTCCCAGAGCCCTTGACTCCGGAGGCTTTCGAGGCAGCCAGGGATCTGGTTGAACTGTCTCTCTCTCCAGTCCCGGTCCCGGCCTTGGGAAAGGATCAAGAACTCTGGGCAGCATCGATTGGAGCGTAGGGCACCAGGTTTCCTGGCACCAGATCTTAAGAAGCACCGCTCCGCTACGGTCACCTCCCACACCACTCCGGGCCCCAGTCCATCGCTGTCTACAGGGCTGGTAGCAACAGCGACCTCAACCCCCACCTGTGCCTCGGCACCAGACCTGGCACCAGGGCAAGGGTCCTGACTGGCATCAAGTGCAGCAACAGCCACCATGACCACCAGCTCTGTTCAAGGCCTCCAGGTCCCGGGCCTGGCCATGCCTCCTCCTGTTCTCAGCCGGCACCGAGGTAAACTGGAGTCAATAGCTCGGCACACCCCATCAACCAAATCACCGACTGCATCTGCCTCCGCCCCACCATGGTCAGTGTCAGAGTATTCAACTGACTCAGAGGCAAAGTCCACAGGGTCGTTTAGGGGATCCAGGTCCCAGTCCCACTCCCACAGATCATGGCACTGGAGTATCTCTGCTCATCAGCAACAGCATAAATGGGCACAGCAAGTCCTGGTACTGGTGATGCAGCAGTCCTGGCCCCCACAGATCTCTAGGCCTGTCTCGATGGCTGTTTTGGACTCCATGAGCCTACCACCAGAGCCAGGGCATGGGCTCCTTTAGGCTGACATTGGTCTTTTCTGAGTTCAGGGCACCCCCTTGGGCGACCCCACGGACCCTGTCACCCACGTGGGGCAGTAACTTCCTCCAGGCCAAACCTCCCCACGGCCCTTAGAGACAGAGGGCCAGGTGGTCCAGCCACCCACAGAGCCCTCACCAGTGGCCTCTCAGGTTCTCTTGCAGGCTGAGGCCCCTCTGGAGATGGGGCGAAGGGGTCCTCATCTTCCTCCCCTGACGGGGCCATGGGTGACACTCTTCCTACCACGCCCTCTATGGACTCGAGGGCACATCAGGGCCTCCTTTGATGCCTTGCCCAGAGCCTGGGAGTTCAGGCTGACAGAGTGTCGGAGGACGCCGACCCAACTGTCAACATCTTGAAGTCTGATACTCCTACCAGAGTGGCCCTCCCCATTAACAAAACGGTGGCCAAAATATCTAAGTCCCTCTGGCAAACTCCAGCCTCTATTTCACCGATGGACAAGAGGGCCGAGCATCGGTACTTTGTGTTCCCAGGAGGGAAACGAATATTTCTTCTCCCATCCACCTCTAGGGTCCCTGGTCATCCAGGCAGTGAACTAAAAGAAGAGGCAGGGACAAGTGGGTGCTACCCCAAAAAATAGGGACGCCAAGAAAATGGATTTGTTAGGCAGGAAAGCCTACATGTTGGGAGGCCTACAATTTCGCATAGTGAACCAGCAGGTTCTGCTGTCTCACTATGCCTATAACACCTGGGCCTCCATGGATAATAAGTTCACTGAGCTACTCCCTAGGGACTCTCGGCCTGAGTTTAGAGCCCTCTCGGAGGAAGGCAGGGCAATCTCTACAGCCACCCTCCAGGCTGCCCTCGATCCGGCTGCACGTGCCATGGGCACAGGGCTGGTTATGCACCGCAGCTCCTGGTTGAAAGGATTCAGGGTGCTCCCTGAACTATAGAACACCATACGGGACCTCCCTTTTTGAGTGCTCCTCCTTATTCTCTGAGCAGACGGGCCAACGTCTGCACAGCCTCAAAGATACCCGGGCCACCTTAAAGTCCTTGGGTATTCACACTCTGGCTACCCAGCAGTGCTCCTTCTCAGGCAGGAACGCCCCTAGGTCTTCCCAGCACACCCCAAATTCCATTGCCGTAACAGGAACGGCAATGGGAGGAATGGCAGACGTTGTTCTCGGCTGACCCAGGACCAGTGTCAAGGTCTACCCAGTAAATCCTCAGGATCTTGCCAAGGGTTTTGAGGGTACACCCAAGGATAGCCTACTAGCCTCACCCCTTCCCTTCTGGGACCATCTATTCCCTTTCCACTGGGCCTGGGTATCTCTTACATCAGACCGTTGGGTCCTAGAAACTGTGCGAAGGGGATATGTCATCACCTGCCCCATCCCTCTTCTGGGACCCCTCTCACGAGCTTCTCCTGCAGGAGGAGGTGCTTCAGCTTCTCACGCTGGGGGCCACAGAGGCAGTTTCCCCCGGGGGTGTCGGGCAGAAACTATTCCCAGTATTTCCTGGTCCCCAAAGCCAAGGGTGGGTTTCGTCCCATTCTGGACCTCCGAGATCTCAACACCTTCATCGCCAAGACAAAATTCAAGATGGTGACTCTGGCATCCATCATTCCTTCCATAGCCCCCGGAGACTGGTACGCTGCTCTTGATCTAAAAGATGCATATTTTCATATTTCTATTGTGCCCCACCAC